ACAAGGCTACAGTTATAAAGAAATTAGAAGAAAAATTGGTGGAAACTTAACCAAAGGTGGCATTTCTAAATTTTTGAAGTGGTATAAGGAGACTTAGTCACTACAAAACCACACTGATAGGCAGGAAAAGGTGCACAACAGCAAGTGATGATAGAAGAATTAAGAGACTGTGCCTACATGACAGAAGAAAATCATCTGGGTGTATACAAGATGAAGTGGTGCAATGCAACATGAAGTTGAGTGCAAGAACTGTTCGGCGCAGACTGCAGGAATTTGGCCTAAAATTCCACGAAAAAAGCTACTTTTATCTCTCAAACAACGGTTGAAAAGCATTACATTCTTGATTAAATTATCTTTCCATTGATATATAATTTTATGGTACTACTCCCCAAAAAAGTGGTCTTATTAGCCATCAAACCGCAAAAATACACTTTTCCTAAAAGGTTTCCACAATTTTGGCCACTACTGTATGATGTTCCTTTGAATGACAATTAGATTCATGTTCCTTTTTGCAGATGGTGCTATTGGGTATCTCACTCCATTAATGTTTCAGTACACATCTAAATAGAGGTGTGAATTGGAGAACAAATTCAAAATTCCTGTCCTTAAGTCTAAATATAAAGGTTGCAACAGCAACCAGAGGAAACAGTCAAAATCCATAATACGGCAGAAGAATTTTTCTGATGCTACCACCTCTTCTTTTGAAAGTATCTGCAACATCAATACAAACAAGAGATGTACCACAATGCTCCATCTGCCATCATTTTGGTCTTGATCACAGCCTGACGATACCTCTGAGAGGCAACATGGTATAGTGGTTAAAACAGTGTTTCTCAACCATGACAATTTGAAGTTGTGTGGACTTCAACTCCCAGAATTCCCCAGCTAACACAGTCCAAATTCTGGGAGTTGAAGCCTATCCATGCTGGCTGGGGAATTCTGGGAGTTGGTTTGTGCCAGTTAGGGAGTTCTGGGAATTGAAGTCCAATGCATGATGGCTGGGGAATTCTGGGAGTTGAAGTTCATACATCTTCAAGTTGTCAAGACTGAGAACCACTGAGTTAAAGTGATGGAGGAGAATAGAGAAAACCAAGGTTCAAATCCATCCTCAATTATGGAAATTCCCAAAAGGGAATCAGTCCACTCTTATCTTCTTGGATTGTGGAAAAACAAAACAAAAATAAACAACAACAACAACAACAACAAAACAAATATCCCCCAGAATCCTGTTTATGTTGCTTTGACTCTCAGGTGAAATACAAATCTAGCAAGTCCCGTATAGGAATAGGAAAGTTGAGATATGATTACAACTCCACAGGCCATTAATTGCTCCTCTGAGGGCCAGAGGATTCCAAAAGAAAATCTCAGCTCCGTTTCATATCCAAGAAACAATTTGTCCTGCGAAGGAACAAACAACTTCAGCATGTCCCTGACGCAAGTTAGAAGGAGTTGCATTCTGTGTCATTTTTCAAGTCTAACATGCAAGTTTCAAGTTCCGTCAGCCTCCCAATCCTGGTCTCCGGTGGCCGGCTCCAATCGCTGGAGTTAGAAAGCACTTCTTTTCACCATTTATGAACGTGGCACAGTTGTGGGTTTCTGTCTACTGAAAATTAAAGCACGTTCGTTCGGGAAACGGGAAATCCTGAGACTTCAGGACTATATGGAGGACGGAGGGCATAAAAGGGTCTTTCAACAGAACAGAAGTGCTTTCAACTTCCAAATGAAGTCCCGGAAGATCTGCACAAGTTTCCCAGAAAAATCCCAGCTCTTACCAGCAATTTTTTTTTCTTTTTTTGCTTTGCTTTTCCATACTTTTCCCCAAAACTCATCCAATCCTGATTGGATGCAAAGTAGACAGATGCATGGTATTCAACTCCCAGAATTCCCTATTCAGCATAGACAGGTTTAAATTCCCAGAATTCCGGAGCTGGCATGCTCAACAGGCCTCAACTCTCACAATTCTTCAGCCAGTATGCACAGGTCTCAACTCCCAGAATACACAAGTGCATGTACAGGTCTCCCAGAATTCCTCAGCCGGCACACAAGGGTTTTAACTTCCAAAATTCCACAACTGGCATGCAGGAATATCAATTCCCAGAATCCCCAAGCTGTGGAATTTTGTGATCCAAATTTGTATGCTTGCCAGGTGGAATGTATTTTTGACATTTGCAGCAATCCAGGGTGATTTGATCATCATTAGTGACCTTCTGAGCCAAACTCCAACAAGTGGAGGAAGCGGAGTTCGTTTAATGACTGTGTGATTCACTTAGCAATTTCAGTGATTTGTGTAACAATCGTGGCAAAAAAAGATGTAAAATCAGGTGCGACTTACGCCCGTCCTTAGCAATGTAAGCCTTTGGGGAAATGCAAAAGAAATATCCTATTCAAATTCAAGGTTTTTTTTTTGTTTTTTTTTAAAGAAAGCAAATCCCAACATATCAAGAACATCTCTTTGTCCCCTGCTGAAAGAGCTGGTAACTCAAGAGAACCATCGCTGCATACAATCCAGTTTATCCTGAAGAAATCCCAAAATTGTGAAGTTGAAAAACATTCTGGAATAAGGCAATGCTTGGAATACTGCATGGAAATGCCCGCCAGTTCACCCAATGATTTTGGCTCGCCAGAAAAGAAAAGGCAGTGATCGTAACCTGAAATAGGCAGCTAATTATTTCCAGCGTCCACAATGGTCTAGTTTCATCTCATCTGCACATCAACCAGATTCATGCATTATTCATTTTGCTGGACCAAGCCACGGTTCTGAGTTGTGGCTGTTGTTCTTTTCTGGGTGTCAGAAAAGCCCAGAGGTTGCCCATCTTGAATCCAACATCCTGTGTGACACAGCAGGTCATCCGATGCGTTGAGGAACTTTCCAGTAGCAAGCTGTGAAACATTTACATTTATATTATTATTATTAAATTAATGTGCTGCGCATCTTGTCCAGAGATGACTCTTGGTAGTCGATAACACCATAGTTATATTATGGTTGCCTCTTTTCTATGTTTTATTCCAATTCTGCGATATATATAGATATATATATTTCCTCAGATGTAGCGAACACAGCTGTTTGCAAACTTCCTTATTTGTTCTAATGGTTGATTGATATAAAACCACGACCAATTACATGGTTCATTTAGTGACTGTTCAAAGTTACAACAGCACTGAAAAAGTGACTTACGACCGTTTTTCACACTTACGACCGTTGCAGCATTCCCATGGTCATGTGATCAAAATTCAGATGCTTGGCAACTGGCTCATATTTATGGGGGGGGGTCGCAATGACCCAGGCTCTTATGATCTCTTCTTGCGACCTTCCAACAAGCAAAGTCAATGGGGAAGCCAGATTGTTACTAACTTAACATCTGCAAATCATTCATTTTAAAACAGAGGCAAGCAAAATCATAAAATCAGATAAAACTCACTTAATGAACGTCTCACTTTGGGCTCAGTTGTGATCGTAATTCGACGAGTAGGTGTACCTCCTATGATTTTTCAATTCTTCCCAGAGGCTTTTTAGCAACTTCTAAAGGTTGTTTTATTAACAGCATACACAGGTTTCGTATTTGCATTCAAATGATATTTTCCTGCCAAGTTCTCTTTCCTGGTCAGCTTGTAAACAAAGCAATGTTGACCTTTCCATTAAGCTACCTTCATATTAAAGCCAACAAGTCCATAAACTATAGTTTCTTTAACCAAGGTTGAATGCAGAAGGTAGGATGGCCTAATTACCTATTCCATGAAACTGAAACAAACTCGCCCTTCCGGTGTTGTATCTCTAGCACTGTTGAACTTGATATACACTTTGACCTTATTTATTCCAGATACCTGCTGCAATTGACTATAAAAAAGCAAAAAGCAAAAATGGTGCTTGTTCAGAGTTGCTATTCCCACCCCAGCATCAAGCTCAAAGGTTGAAATTGAGCCCTCAAATCCGTCATTATGATACAGGGGGGGGGGGAACCCTGTATTACCGCTAAGTTATTTTCTTTTCTTTCATCATCCAGGGAATTGTTTTCTGAGCATTGCAAAGCCACAAGATAAAGCAGAAGTTTTGGTTTTGTTTTTTTTTAAATCACTCCATCCAATGAAAAAATAGTAAGTCCAGTAAAATATTTTTCTTGGCAAGGCTGATTTTCAAGAAGTGCCAGTTCTTAATTTTTCCTATGCAGATTTGTTCCCCTAAATCTCAGCAGCCACGGTCACCTATGTAAAAAACTCTCTCTCTCTCTCTCTCTCTGTATTTACGTCATGAATAAAAACTGCTAGGGCAGTCCGCAAAGTGCTATATTGGATACGGTGGCCTGAAACAGCTGGAATTAGTTGGGTTTTTTGGAGAGAGAAGATGTTCAATTTATTCGTTCTCTCTTCCAAAACAGGAAGAATCCTACCTGAGGCTTAAATAAAAATAAAAGCAAATTCTCCATGCAAAAACTCTGTTGCTGTCAACATCTATCTTTTTTGCAGGGCCCAAACTCTAACTTGCCAACTTTTTAACTCTCTGCACTCCAGATATTATTTAAAGGCGTCGCTTATTTTACCTTTCCCCCCAACCTCTTCCATTCCCTTTACAAAACCAGCAGATGATTATTTGGACAGGAGGCAGAAAGGGAGGGGGAATAATAAATCAAGGAAAGTTTTTTTCTTCTTCTTCCCAAGAAGTGGCAGCGTGAGGAAAAGTGACAAGGCAATTCGCCAACATGTCCATCCACCCCAGAGATTTCTGAAGCACCGGTTCACACGACTCGCTAGTCTCAAATGAGGAAAGATAAGCTTTAACCCCCTCCCCCACCTCGGCCGGTCTTGTGAATGCATGCAAGAGTCAAGAATGATGGGCAAGAAGCACTGAATGGTGGGAACCACAGTGCAAAACCTGCGCACTGAATAATCCAGCAACAAGGCGAAAAAAGGAGGGAGAAAAGAGATCGCGCGAATCGACTTAAGAGTGGAGGAGGAATTTCCCAGGATTAAGCCTGAAACTCCCGTCAAAGCCCATCACGACTTACCTTTCTTTCTTGCAGGGAAAAAACACCAAGCTCAGAGTTTCTCCTTTCCCTCCGTCAGCTGCGCGGTGACTCCGTGTCCCGTAGCCAAACACTCGGGATGGGGGATGATGGGGCGCAGAATCAATCAACAAGGCCCCCCTCCCCTGGCAGAGGCAAGTGGGGGCGGGGGAGGAGGAGGAGAAGGAGAAGGGGAGGGGGCAACTGCCCCGCCAGAGTGGCACCGGGACGTGTTTCCTGGACGGGGGTCTCTTCCTCCCCTCAACCAGCAGAAAAGAAAGAAAACTTTCCAGCTATAAAACTCTTCCTGGGCTCACGGCAAGGGAGGAGGGTGGAGAAGTAGCAAATGCCCCAGTTTCCTGCTTTCCAAAAAGAAAAAAAAAAGAGGATTTGCAAAAGGAGGCGAGGGACAGAAAAGGGGAAAGTTGGGAGACAGGAGTTCGGAAGCCAAAAAAAAAAAGTATAAAATGTTGCAGAGAAAAAGAAACAAGGAAAAACTTTCCGCCCGCGACGTCCCAGCGCAGCTGCAGAGCGCGGAGCGCAGAAGGAAGGGGACCCGGGCAGCAGGAAAGGGTGACGTCAAAGGCGGCGGCAGCCAATGGGGGCCCAGCACGCTTTGGCATCGCCTTCGGAGGCTTCGTTCGGTTTGGGTTGCCTGCGGGGTGGATTGGGGACCACGAGGACCGGTGCATCCCTCTTGGGACAGGTTTTGGCGTTTGGAAGACAGGGAGGTCGGTTAGTTCTTCAAGAGGATCCCGAAGGAAAAGAGCAGCGTTGATTCGGATTATAAAGGCTGGCTGTAAACAAGAGTCGATCCGGAGTGAAAGTGGAGGGGGAGCTGGTGGGTGTGAAATAGTATTCTGTATTGGTCCAGGGTGATGGAATTTGTCTCCGGTGCATAAGCTCTCAGTGTACATAAATCATTACTATAATCATTATAATATTCTCAACGGTTGCCCCAAAGAAGGAGTCATATCTATTCTCCAAAGCCCCTGAAGGCAGGACAAGAAGCAATGGATGGAAATTAATCAAGGAGAGAAACAACCTAGAATTTAAGAAATTTCCTGATACTGAGAACAATTAATTAGTGGAACGACTTGCATCCAAAAGTTGTAATGTAAATACTCCAAACACTAAGTTTTTAAGAAAAAATTGGGCAGTCATCTGTCTGGAGTGGTATAGGGTTTCCTTCCTAAGCAGGGGGTTGGGCTAGAAGACCTCTAAAGTCCCTTCCAACTCTACTATTCTATATTCTATTCTATTCTATATTCTATTCTAAATCTTATTCTTTTCCAATTCCATTCCATATTCTATTCTATTCTGTTCTGTTCTATTCTTCTTCATTCCAATATTCTATTCTATTCTTTCTACTCTATTCTATTCAATACATTCATCGTAGTCAGAAACAACACTAAGAGATACTCATAGGATACTAAATAAACAATCAACGTAAACCAGGGTACTAAATAAGGACTTCTCCAATGTAATGTTGACCAGTAGTTTCAAAGTAGTATTTTTCTACATCTGTTTGGCACAGTCTATAGCAGATCTTCAGCAGTGAGGAGGGGATGCCCATTAATATACAGGTAGTCCTGAGCTTATCAGTCAAAAAGTCGGCAGTTCAGTGGTTCGAATCCCTAGTGCCGCGTAACGGGGTGAGCTCCCGTGACTTGTCCCAGCTTCTGCCAACCTAGCAGTTCGAAAGCACATAAAAATGCAAGTAGAAAAATAGGGACCACCTTTGGTGGGAAGGGAACAGCATTCTGTGCACCTTTGGCGTTGAGTCATGCTGGCCACATGACCATGGAGACGTCTTCGGACAGCGCTGACGCTTCGGCTTTGAAACGGAGATGAGCACTGCCCCCTAGAGTCAGGAACGACTAGCACATATGTGCGAGGGGAACCTTTACCTTTACTCCTAGACTTATGACAGTTCATTTAGTGACTGTTCAAAGTTACAGCACTGAAAAAGTGACTTAAGATCTGTTTTCACATTTAATGACCTTTGTAGAAAATCCCTACAGTCATGTGATTAAAATTTAGACGCTTGACTGATATTTATGACAGTTGCAGTGTCCCGGGGTCTGACAAGCAAAGTCCATGGGGAAGCCAGATTCACTTAACAACAGTTTGACTAATTTAACCACTAGTCATTCCCTTAACAACTTCAGCAAGAAAAGTCGTAAAATGGAGGAAGCTCACTAAACGAATGTTTCACTTAGTAACAGAAATGTTGGCTTCAATTGTGGTCGTAAGTTGAGGACTTCGTGTATATGATGAGGATCTATAAAGATTAATAAGTACAAACAGAAATATTGATTATTTCCCACAGCAAAAAAAAAAAAAAGGAGAGATAGTTAAATTGATTACTTTATTCACAGAAAAGAACATGTCCAATCTTGTTTCCATGTGCAAATTGCTTCTGGATTTTGGGCTTGTGATGGGAAAAAAAAAACAAAGTTTTGATTTTGCCAATTAGATAGGCTTGTTATAGAAATGGCTAGTTGATATTATTGTATAAAAGTAAAGTGTTGTGCCTTTAATGTTATTTTCTTCTATGCTAAAAAGAGTGGGAAGTCAATGCTTTTTTTTTCTTTTTCCCCTTCTACCTCACACTTTCTCTTCTATTTTTTCGTTCCCTTGTTTCGCATTATTTTCATTTCCTTTGCATTTTATATTTTAATTTTATAAGTGCAGAAGGGGAGGACGGCTGGCTCCTATTGGCCCGTCTGGGGCTGCAGTGGGGATCCCATTTTCTAATCCTAAAAGTCTCTGGTTTTTATGGCTTTTGGGGTTAGATTAAAGTAAGGTTCTATATTTAGGCAAGAAAAAACAAATTGAAAGGGTTTGGGTTCCTGGCTCAATAGCAGTAACTGCGAGAAAGATCTTGGAGTCCTAGTGGGCAATACTTAAATAGGAGCCAGCAGTTGGGGTACAGATGCCAAAAAAGGCCAACATAATCCTAGGCTGCATTAACAGAGAGATAGAATACAGATCACGTGAAGTGTTAGTACCACTTTATAAGGCCTTGGTAAAACCACACTGCACTGGAATACTGCATCCAGTTTGGTCGCCACGATGTAACAAACAATGCTGAGACCCTACTACACAGAGGTATCAAACTCAAGGTCCGTGGGCCGCATCCGATCCTCGGAGTTCTTAGATCCTGGAAATAACGGCCCACGGTGCCTCTGCCAGCGAAAACGGAGCTTGGGACAGCCGTATGCGGCCCTCCCGGGTTCCATTTTTGGCCGCAACAGCCTCCTGCAACCGTCTGCCAGTGAAAATAGAACTCGGGGTGAAGGGGGACATGCAGACACCCCCCCGAGCTCTGTTTTCACTGGCAGGGGGCTAGCAAAACAAAACAAAAGGAGAAATGTTTCCCCTTTTGCATTTGAGCATCCAAGAAGGGATAGGAAAGGAGAAAGGGAAAGAGGAAAGGAAAAGAAGGAAAGGTGGGAAAAGAGCAAGGAAGGAAAGAGTAAGGAAGAAGAATGAAGAGGGAGGGAGGGAGGGATTATAATGAAAGGGAGCGAGTGTCTGAAGGGAAGTCCTGCCTTAGCACTTGGTCGCCAGCAGCCCTACTGCCCTTTTGCCATCCCCTTGTCTCCTCCTCCTGACATCCTATCACTGAGGATGCTTTGATTACAAATCTGGGTCTCCTTGCGTGGAGAGGGAGTGGGCCTCCGTCTGACCCACACACTTTGCCCTCCCGCACACACCATGAGCAACCTGGTTAAGGAGAGTGAGAACAGCAGCAGCAGCCTCGAAGGTAAGCGCAGCTGGGCACCCCCTCAGGAAGCAGGGCTGGGCTGGGGTGTGTGGCCCTGGTTCCCTGGGAGCTCAAGGGCTGGGCCGGGCGCTTGTGCTTTGGACAGTGTGCGCCATCAGGCGGTCCTCCACGTGGGTTTGGCACTCTCCCTGGCATCCCCTTTCTCCACTGGAGTCAATGGATCACCCAGCCCCACGTGGGACACCACATGTGCCCCCGACACGAGTGATGTTAAGCTGGCCATGCCCCCCCCCTCCAAGGTCAAACACAACCGATGCGGCCCTCAACGAAATAGAGCTTGACACCCTTGTTCTAGAAAGAGCACAGAGAAGAGCCAGAGATTTGCTTTTAAAATATGTATTTTTAATATAAATTTTATTTAAAGTTTTAAAAGAAGATTAAAAACTAACAAGTGGCAATACAAAATAATAAAAAGAGATAGAGAGCCTCCAGTTTTGCAGCAAGCAACTAGATAATAGAAAAAAAGAAAATCCTTGTAAGCATAGAGTAAGAGATAATTTTATAATCGTGCCTTGCATATGTTGAACATTTTAACTGTGAAACCTCTTTGTTGTCAGACGCTCCACTCTCTCTGGAGTTCAGCTTGCAGAGATACACAGACATAACTCATGTTTCCTTTCCTGCTGCTTTGGTAGAATTATTTTTCCGGTATTATTTCAGATCTCTGTTAGCGGACAAAACATGGTCGGTTTGTTGTGTGCCTGTGACAACCTCGTCCTATTCCGCCACAGCCCCACTGATCTTCTGTTCCACTTCTGCACTTTCAGGCTAATCTGAATGAGAATTCGTCAAAAAATCATTTTGCAAAAGAACAATGGTGACTTCCTCTGACCGCATTTACACTAAACTGCGATTTACTTGCAGAGGCCTAGATGGGGTACAGCAGGCTTCGCTTCGCAATCAAGGAAGACTGAGTGGCACCATCTGGATGGGGTGGTGGCACTGCCCCAAACAGACTTGGCGCACAATCTGGGGATCCTTCCTGGACCTGTGGCTCCTGCTCGAGGAGGAAGTTGCTTTGGCTAAGCAGGGCTTTTGTGCAATTCCGAGTTGTGCATCTGGTGTGCCTGTTGCTGGCCAAGTGGGGGGTGGGGCACTTTGTCAGGGAATTGCACAGCCGGTGTCCAAATGAAGCTGACACAAACTTGTAGCTTTATATAAATAAATATATTTTACATTTATATTTACAGCAAACAAGATAGTCAGGCACATCAGTACATCATGAGGTAAATTGTGAGGTAAATCACAGAACAGCAGAGAACAGGGGTGTCAAACTGGATTTCTTGGAGGGCCAGATCAGCATTGTAGTTGTCCTCTGCGGGGTGGGGCGGGGGGGAGATGGGATGGACGCCTCCTGCAGCACACTGCCAGCTAAAATGGGGCACAGTGAGGGCCGCCCATGGCCCCCCACATTCCATTTTTGGCCTGGACAGCCTCCTGCAGCACCGTCAGCCAAAACGGGGCAGAGAGGACACCCACAACCCTCCTAAGCCTGTTTTTGGCCTGGATGGCCTCTTGCAGCACCCTGACGGCCAAAACGCTTGAAGGAAGGAATAGCAATAACAATAGGACTTATATACCTCTTCATAGTGCTTTACAAACCCTCTCTAAGCGGTTTACAGAATCATCTTATTGCCCCCAACAATCTGGGTCCTCATTTTACCCACCTCGGAAAGATGGAAGGCTGAGTCAACCTTGAGCCAGTCAGGATCGTACTCCAGA